CTGCAGTCCGGAATGGATCCTGGCGACCCTCACCTGGTGTCATTCCCAAGACGCACAGCAGAGTGTTTCTTTGCAAGCTCCACATTGAAATGAGAATCCAGACCCCTGGTATGAAGCTCACTTTGAGATAAACCTTGTTTTAGGCCCTTCACGCGCTTCATTTACCAAATGAAGCAAGGACAATTATCTCCATTTCACAGGTGTTAAAGTTGAAGATTCGAACACGGTTCTGAGCCCAGATCTCAGGTCTATATGGGCCAAAAAAGCACACGGGACCCTGGACACACAGAGTAACCCAAGTAGCCTTTGCTGCATTAGGTTGAACTTGGACATTCTATTTGAGGAAAATCTGCACATAAACCAATGGTACAGCTTGCCATGTGACTGCAAAGCTGGCTTTCGGGGTGGGACTGGGCAGGCAGCTGAGGACGGGTACAGGTGGGCAGGGGTGAGGTGGCCTGGCCCCTCACAGGACGACAACCAGCACCAGATCCCAATAACGATGACTTCCCCACTTCTACACCTGCCTGTCATCTGGCCTTTTTATATCTGCTCTTCACGAGTCCAGGGCACGGTCTACTGCCGCCCACGTTCCCCTCCTCTGAGATCCCGGCTGCCAAGAGCTCCCCGGCTGCTCGGGATGGAGCGTGTGGTGGCAGCTTCCCTGTGGGGGGGTGCCTGAGCCCAGACAGGCGCAGGGATAACTCCTGCCCCCACCCTCAGCAGCGTGACTTCAGGCAAAGAAATGGAAACTCAGAGTCCTCGTCTGTCAGATGGGGTAGCCGCTCCCTGTCAGGGGGCCGTGAAGGCGCAGTGAGGTGGTGGCGTCAGCTCCCGCCCCACACGTGATCGGCACTCGCCCTCCCTCCCTCTCCCCTTCTTGGGCCTTTCTTAACCTTCTAGGGGCCGCACAAATCAAGACTTTAGCAAATAGTACCCTTTTAGCAGAATCGCCTCTGCTATAGGTGTCCAAATAGCTAAAGTCCCCCTAAGGGCTGAGTGGCATCTGTGCCAGCTTTGTCCTCAGGGCGGCACTAACCGCGCCCCTCTCTGGCCTTCATGCCCCTGCCCCTCTCCACACTCACGGTCCCCGCCTCAGCCCCGGCCAGCGCCTCTCCCCTGCCTCAGCCTCGGCCAGCACCTCTCCCCAGCCTTCTCGCCGGTCTCTCTGTTTCCTGCCCCGCTTCTGGTCCCTCTCTAGTCCTGTACGACCCCCACACTGGACCAGCTTGGTCTTTCCAAATTGGGGATCTGATCCTGTCACCTCCTGTGCACAGAGCCACCCGGTTCCCGTGGCCTAGGGAATCACCAGCACAGCGTCGAGACTCTTTATCAGCCTCATGTCCTATCATAACACCCAGTGCAGTCAGCACACCCTCCCCGGCTGGAAGATGCTCCACAGACCGAGGTGCCAGCACCGAGGCTGAGCCTGGATGCAGGAACCTGAGTATAGACTTCACTTAATAATAATGTATCAAAATCTGTTCATTAAATTTAACAATTCTGTAAAAAACTAGAAAGAAATTAAAAGTCAAATAAGGGAAATCTATTGCATCAAACTAGAAACATAGAGGAAATGGGTGATTTCCTAGTAAAAATACACATTAATAAAATGGACCCTAAAGTAAAGAAAATACAAACAGACCAATTATCCATCCAAGGACCTCTTCCCCCTGTCCTGGGGCCTCCCTCTCTGGGGACAGGGACGGAACAGGGACAGAGCTGACTGGCAGCTGGCAACTTCCCGCCCAGAGAGGACACTGTGCCAAGGGGGTCTCAGGGGTTACTGATCGTGCTGTGTCAGCTGGGACTGGACACACTTACTGAAGTGAGGCGGCAGACGTGTGGGACAGAGACACCCGGGAACCGGGTGACGGGATAAGGGGCCCTTTGTGCTGCCACTGCAGGTGCCGTGTGCATTAGAAATCACTGCAAAATAAGGGCCCCTAGTACAGCCACGAGGCCACTGCCTGGCCAGGGTCTGTGTGGCCTCGGGGGTCTCGCGGACGCCCCGTGTCTTGCTGTGCGGTGACCAGGCCCAGGCGCTAGGTTTGGGTCCCACTGTCCCCACCCAGGCTCTCGCTGGGCACCGAGGCCGCTGCTGGGCGCGCGCGCGAGGCTCCCCCGCTGACCTGCTTTTCTTACTCTCACTCACGGCTTCCACCTTCCGGCACCTTCCTCATTCACACAGCCCCACCCTCACCCTGACCCCGACCCTGACCCTAGACCCTCACCCTAACCCTCACCCCTCACCCTACCCTTAACCTCGAACCCTAAGCCCGAATCCTCTTAACTCTATCCTTACCCTTCCAACCTCAATGCTGACCCCTAACCTCTAATCCTTTACCCTGTTTTAAATGCCAAACCCAGCTCTAACCTAACCCCATCTCACTCTTACCTCTCACTGCTGAAAGCTAATTAATCCAAACGCAGACACCCCAAACCTCATCACAGCCTGCCGATCCCAACCCTATCCCACCCTCCATTGGACTAGAGTCCACGCGCAGCCGCCCGAGCCAGGAGGCCGTGGCTCCTCTGCCACCGTCCGCTGCAGCGGTCACACCAGTTCCCAGCCTGGCCGGGTCGTCAACCAGTCGTCGATGTCCTTTTCCTCTGCACCCTCCTCACTGGCACCCTGCCCACGTGCTCCTGGAGACGTCCCAGGCCCCTGCAGGCTCCCTGTCCCCTTGCACACACCATGCAGCAGCTTCTGGTATTTTCTTTTAGATTTTTTTTGCTAAGTTTTATTTTAATCCAAGGACTTTGCTTCATACAAAATGTGATTGTAGAAACAACAGCAGAATCCAAAGTTTAGCTGATAAATATTACTCAAGCAGCAAACTAGTCAATCACAGAGTTGTTTTTTTTAAAGTGAGTCCCAGTTGTGTTGGGTGGTTGGGACGTCTCTTTTTTTGTCATTTTTTAACACTGTTCTTAAATATAAAGTTTTGCAACAAACCTTTGATTTATATCAAATATAATTAAAAATTAACAAATGAATACATTGTATCAAAAAGTACGAAGATATACATCGTCATGCACATACTTGCATATATGTATATATGTATATATTTTACATGCACACGTAACTTGTTCAAACTACAGCCACTGCTTGACTGGTTCCAGTGCAGACAACTGGTTGATGCATTTCAAATTTGGCAACTCACTATGAGATTTCGGGGGAACGTGATGGGTGAGAAGAGACGGTGCAGAGACAAAACCCAAAGTCAGGAAAACGAGACAGAGTGCGTCTTTCCCCACGTCCTACGCTTTTTACTGATTCCAATGTTTAGAAGAATCGAGACAGACGAGCCAGGCGGTGTGGCTTTAGAAAGTGAGTTCTCCACCCAGCGAAGCCTGGGGAGCAGCTGTGGTTCTCACAGAATGGATACATTCAGAAAAGGGGGACCAGAGACGACACGTCAGTATCAAAACACACATCCTCTGCTTCGCAGCAGGTCACAGCGACCACATGCACAGTTGGAGATTCCAGTTTAACTGTATCGTATTAGAGTAAAATGCTCGTTATCTTAAAGTTTCACGGTGTTGTGCCTCCTCGAAAGGAAACTGTAAAACGGTTTGGTCACAATCATGCTGAAACCTAACAGGTGGCGGTCCTGTGTTTTATTTATTCTAGTAAACGTGTGTCTTTTGTTGCATAGCCCTGTGGGTTAATGGCATCCACTCACCGTGACACACAGACACGCACACACATATCACAGGCCAAGTTTCTTTAAGGAGAATCATGGGGCAAAGGCCGAGGACGCAGCAAAAGACCATCTGACATTTCAGGACATGGAGGACACCCCAGAATCCACTGGTCTAAGTGCCCTTCTCCTGACCACGGTGGTCCCCTTCTGAGTGTCCACGAGGCTGGACTGAGCCTTCTGTGCCTGTTGTCCCACGTCTCTCGCCAGTCAGATGGGGCTCACACGCCCCCTCCTCAGCCACGGTCAGCAGCCTCGCTTCGGCCCTGGCCCTCCCTCTGGCCTGAGGACCCCCACCCCCAATCTCACCCTCCCCTCTCTCCTGCCTGATGTGGAAACACAGCAGAGATTCTGCCCGCACTCTGCGCATCCTGGGGAGCCGCCCTGCCACTTGCGGGAGGAGAGCGGGAACAGCTCGCTCGGACTCCAGCCACACCATCCCGCTGGAAGTGATATGTTCTCTGCTGATGGCAGCGTTCTACTCGCTTGAGGTTTGGATTGTCCCCACCAACCCCCGCGGCTCACGCGGGCCGCAGGTCACCACCCCCAGGAGCCTGGGGGAGAGGGCTCGGCGGTCAGGCACTTGGTCGAGAGCAGCGGGAGCCCGGGCTGGACAGGCAGGCGTCTCCTCACACGTGTCACGAACCAGGTCATGGGACTTTTAAAGTTACGGTAACATCTCCTTCCCCGTTGATCTGGTTTCCTATTTTTTCTAGATGAAGAGTCTATAGAATTAACAAAAGAGTGAAAGGTGTGTGATTAAAAACCAAAATCAACAGCAAGAACCTGTTCCAGATTTGGTCCCTTTCGAGGTTGACAATGTCTGGGGGAGGACAAGACGTTTGAATGTATCAAGATCTTCTGCTGTTTAAGCTTCGAAGGGTGACGCTGGACGTGTGTTTTTGTGGGTGCTGATGAGACCTGCACGGAGCCACAGGCTGGGTTCCCGAGGCTGCTGCTCTGTGTACCATCCACCTGGTTGTGAGGTCTCGCTCCCTGGCTCCTCCGTGCCACCCATCTGGATGAAGGGTGCTCCCCAGGACCTCCCAAAGGTTCCGAGCTGCACCCCAGATGCTGGGGTCCACCCCACAGGATTCAGACTCAGGGTCCTGGGCAGCACGCACAGCCACTGCCTGTGTGGGGACCGCCGTATGAGACCCAGGAAGGGCATACAAGGGGACAGAGAGCCATGTTCCTCCAGTGCAAGAGGGGGGCAGGGGGCCTCCCCCAGCTGGCACAGGAGGTGAGACCCCCTCCTCCCAGGGGCTGTCCCGTGCCCCTGAGCGTCCCAGGATCCCAGCGTGATGATAAAACTCATCCACTGGCCCGGTGCACTAGCACCAGTGGTCTCGGTCGGGGTGGCGGGCGCTGAGACGCGCCCCACTGCCGCGGCCCGGGCCCAGGGTGCAGTGGTACCCGTTGGGCACGCGCCGGGGCGGGTGGGGCTGGGACGTCAGGGAGGACACGTAGGAAGTCCGGGAGGAGCGGCCTGAGTTGGTGGCCACAGCCTCCTCGAAGGTGAGCGTGTCCTCGGGCTGGGTGTGGGCCGTGGCTTCACCGTCAGGACGCTGCCCCAGGTAAGGGTCGGAGCCAGTCCGAGAGCTGGGGGCCAGGGGCTGGCTGAGCGGGTCTCTCTGGAGCAAGGCGTTGTGTTCGGAAAGGCCTCGGCTGAGCCGGCCGGGGGAGAAGGCGGGGAGGCTGGTCTGAGGCCCCCCGAAGTGGACAGGTGAGGAGTGGGCCGTCTTGTAGGTGACGCTGGGCCGCGGTGTCAGTGGGGTCTGGGGGAGCTGCCTCCGCCCGCCACGGCCAGGGGTGCTAGCACCGGATGCTGACAGCAAGGGGCTCCCGTTTGCCGAGCCACCACCCTGCAGGGACACGAACAGAGCACGTGGAAGCCCAAGGCCAGAGCCAAATGGACAGAGCCAGCCAAGGGCGGCAGGAGGGGAGGTGGACCAGAGCGCTGGCCCCTGGGCGGCCCAGGAGGGCGGTCAGGGCGTGGCCAGTGACGGAGAGAGAGGCCAGAGGCCAGCCAGCCAGAGCCGGGGCAGAGTGAAGAGCCCTGGACAGTGGCGCCAGGCGGGAGGGGCGGGGCCAGAGCGACCGGCCAGTGCG